CCCCCCCCCCCCCCCCCCCCGGCCCATGGTCGTAGAAACGGGCCCGAGGCTGTGTTCCCGGTTATGTAACGGGCGGAGTTCGGGGTCTTATGTATACGGATAGATATTTATGTCGAGAACGGCCGTCTCGAGGTCTTGTGAAAGCTGGCTGGAGCCTGCTCTTTCTCCTTTTATTCTACCACATTTTCTAGCTGCTGACCTTTTCACAACGCCCACATATTTGCAACATAAACCCCCAAAAAACATGGCGGTGAGATTCCCCGTGTATATAAACCGAGCAGAGATGCGGAATCATGATGTTGACGATAGTATGACAGGTCCCCTACCCCCAGATTGTGCTCTTTGGCGATTCGCTGTTCCAGGATGCGGCAAGTCTTGAGGACGGCTTCGGTTTTCAAGCTGCCGTTCAACAGCGTACGTTTTTTTTTGGTTTTTTTTTTTTGCCAGCTGCTTACAAGTCTTGGAAGTCCAAGTTTACTGATTTACCACCAGAGGTTCTTCGCCGGTTTGACGTTGTCAACCGTGGTCTCTCCGGCTACAACACCTCCAATGCCCTGAAACTCCTGCCTCAGATCATCTCCCCGCCGGGTCCGGGCGTGCCCAAGCTTGCCTATCTTGTAAGTCTATCCTCCCTCGTCTTGTAGATCAACCTTTGCCTAACCAGAGCAAAAAGTTCATCCTCTTCGGCGCGAACGACGCAGCCCTTCCCCGGCCCGTCAACAATCAGCACGTTCCCCTAGACAAGTACAAGCAGAACCTCGTCTCCATCATCACTCACCCCAATATTACCGCCCACAACCCCAAGATCTTTCTCGTCACGCCCCCACCCCTGGACGAGTTGAAGACGTCCGAGGTCGATCTCGGCATCCGCAAGCACCGCGTCAGCGCTTCCTACTCGGAAGCCGTCCGCCAAGTGGCCGCCGAGCACTCAGTCGGCTTGGTCGATCTCTGGAAAGCCATCATGGACTACGCCATCTCCAAGACGCCCGGGTTTGACGGATCCAAGGGAAACCTGGGGGATCCCAAGACGCGGGAGAGGGGCTATCTGGAGAGCTTGTTGCCGGATGGGTTACATCTGAGCGCTGAGGCGTATCAGGTATTGTACGATGTGGTGAAGCCTCATCTAGGTCAGGAGTGGGAGGGGACGAACAATGAGCAGAGGGTTGGTTATGTGTTGCCGGACTGGAAGGTGGCGCCTTGGTTGGAGGAGGATGTGTTGAAGCCTTGAGCTTGGGTTACCAGCCGAGGATGTGGACTTGTGGGCCAAGAAACACAGTAATAGTAATTTTACACATCAAAGTTCCAAGCAGTGTGTTCCAGTCCCAATTTCAATCTCAGTTATCGGTGCATCTTGAGAAATGGCATCAACCATTGTGGGGGTATACCTAATGTTGATGGTTGAGTGAGACTTTTAGCGGTTGTGGGGGGTAGGTAGGGGTAGCTGTCATGGCGGGGCATCTTGTTTGTGCTGTCATGTCATTTGACGTCGGGTTATTTTGATACTTCTCGACCTCGTCGGCTTAAGGATGTGAAAAACTGATGGAGAGATACTTCTATATATGCATTTGGGACAAGACGAAGGCATCATGGTCTCAAACGGGATGGACCAGATGGTATTAAAAGAGGAGGTTGGCGGCGTGTAAGTGGGATTCCATCTAGTACCAAACAACCTAACATGCCGTCCCCGCCGTCGACATGTGAGACGGCCGCCCCGTGTGCTTGGTCTCCCGGCCTCTAATGCCCCGAATATACAGTGAGCTTTATTAGTCATCCGGCCAGCAAGAGGGCTGTCTTAATGTTTCACAGCATTCACAACACCGAATGCCCCTGCCTTGGGTGTTTGGCCTGCCTTCCATGGGATGCCGTCCAGCCGTTGCCCACCGTGCCGTGGGACCTGGAGTGTGGGAGCGTGTAAGAGCGTGGTTGCGCCTGCCAATCCACAGGGAGGTGGATCACTGCAGCTTCCTGATGAGCATCATTGGACAGGAGCAGCCTATCATTCGCGCTAGCCGCGAGACACATCCATTGAGCACTGCGTAGAGGTATTTCTTCCCAGTGCGGCTTGACAAGCTGAGCAGTAAGTACGTCCCTCAGGCTGGAGAACCGAGAAAACTCCACCGAAAACCGCCGCGTCCACGACGATGGGAGCCCAGCGCAACGGCGTCTTTCTTTCCATTTGCAACAGACAGACGGGACTTCTACTGTCCAGTTCTCCATCTTCCGTCTGCTCGCACGCACCACCTCAACAGCCAGTTCTCAACTCAAGAAACACACCGCACGCACCAAACCACGCACCGCACAACTTCGTCAAGTCAATTCATACCCGTCCTGGACTTTTTCTTTCATCTTTCAAGCGGACCACGCCGTCAAAGGCCTCGGAACAGGCTTCTCTATAGCGCACTGGCGTCCCCAACATCTCATTGTTTGCATTCCGCAGAACACCAGACCTAGGTAGAGTCTACCATACCTAACAGCATCCTTCGGTTCCGCAATCCAGAAGACCCGACATCAGGGCAACGCCGGCCTCATCCCTCCACTGATCACCGCGTCCTATCCTTCCCGTCGACGACCCCCGATCACCGTTTCTGCTAGACGTGCACTTGACGTTTGTTCATCACTAGACGCCATTCGAAGCTTTGTCCAAACCCGTTTCCCAAATATCTCTTGGGTGAAATAGGCCGGACGACATTCACGCCCAAGCTCCACCCGCGGCCATACCCAGTCTGTCTCTGGTGGATCGAGAATACTCTCAAATCTCGAATTCGCTCGCTCATCCCGCGCCAACCCATCTTTCCTCGACATATCTTCTTCCTCGCATCTCGGCGAGCCTTGCCATTTCGCGTTTCCCTGACAATATCTCCTGTCGCCCTCGTTCGTGGTGCTGGTTTCCGTTCAACGCCACATACGTCTGTCGACATCCCTTGGCGGCCAGCAGCCCCAATTTCGCAACACCCCGACAACAGTCCATACCCGAACCCCTCACGCTTCCGCTATCAGCTCAGTGCCTCCAACGCCACCCAGAATTGTGCAAGCAAAAAGTCTTACGTTGGTAGTGTCTGGCGAAGGATACACTCAGGTGTGTGGGAACCATTGCACAAGACCGCGGTGGTCCTTTGCGGGCGATGAGGGGGAGGGTGGACCTCGATATCTGAATCACAAACAGGGTCGAGGTCATATCAAGACGGCCTTCAGCTTGTGACCGGCACAGTCATACACCAGTAGTTACGTTTGAAAGGCCGTAGTCAACATACGAGTTGCGACCCATCCTTTCCTTGGTTCACCCTAATCCTATTTCCCGATCCATCCAGCCCGGCAGCAACACTGGGCACATATCTTCAACGTCGACCGTTTGCGATCACTCTCCCGTCCTCACCATCTGGGCATGGATCCGCGCTTCATCGTCACCCGCGAAGAACTATACGATGTCCAGATGGACTTGAAGCGCCTTCATTCCATCCAGCATCAGCACTCGGAGCGGTTACGATTGTTGGAAAAACGCCAGGCTGATGATGCCGCCTTGAAGTCTGTCTGGAGTTCGCCGTTCCCAAGTATGCTCGGCACTACAACCCCTCAGCATGGTCAGACTTTCGCAGCTCATGATAGTCCTCTTGTCAACCAGGGCTTCACTAACAACACTTCAGGGCCAGTTCACTTGCCGGCCAACGATTTGTTTGACGACCTTGACGAGCAGGGTCAGAACTTGCTTGGTAGGCTGCAGCTTGAGCCTGAGGACGAACCTATACGGCGAGGGGCGGCATCGAGGGCGAATAGTGTGCGTTTTGATGAAAGTGCTCTGCATGGCTGGGCGGTCATCATGGCACCCGTCACTCGACCGAATATGGCTTGACGCGCCCTGGAAGTGGCATGGGAGGCCATCCGATGACTGAGCGCTCTTCGTCTCACAAGTCTGATGGGAGGCATAGCTCTGCCGGCCATTCTGTTCATTCAGTGCATTCAAACGCCTCTGGTCGAGCTAGCAGTCTCGGCCTTGACACCAACTTCTCGATTGGTGGCATGGAGGATGACTCTCCCCTCGATGTCCCGGAACCTCCACCGGGGTTCTTCTACCTGGGCGCAGCTCCGTCCATCATTCGTTGTTGCTTGACTGATAACATCACCAACAAGGGATTGCTTTATGCTGTCGTCTGCACTGGCTCTCAAAAGTCAACAGTGGACTATAGTGTGGTCAAAGACCTGCATCTGACCAACCAAATGCAAAGAGGAATGGACGGCATCTACAGGATCGATCTTCCGGTCTACCTTACCGAAGCTAGAGTCGTACAGTCCAATTCTAGGTCTGTCAGCCCGATTCACCCGCTGCCACCTAGCATCACATGTTCTTTTGAAGTAACAGGCATGGATCAACCAGAAACTACCGAAACCAAGAAGAGCATTCGCGTCTTCATCGGTAACCACACATTGCGCTTGCATAGTGCGGACCTTCTGCTTTCTCAGAATTCCATGACCTTGTATGGCACTGGCAGGGACAAGCTTTCTGTACCCTTTGTTCGACCCGAGGATGATGCCATCTTCAAAAATCTTGCAGTCACTAATATGGCTCCTGGGAATAAGGCTAAGCTGAACGCTGCTGCACCTGAGTTCGTTGCTGGCGACCGAGTCGCAAAACCGTCGGCCAAATGCAATGAAGAACCGACACCCAAGCAAAATGGAGATACTGCCTCGGAGGGAGCAGTTTTGTCGCCTGTGAGGTCGCCTCAACCACTCAAGACCACTTCTGAGGCAACCAGCGCAGCATCTGAAGGGGGTGGAGAGTATGAGAAGGAGCAACCTCAGCAGCAGCAGCAGCAGCAGCAGCCGCCGCCGCCGCCGCCGCCTGTTCCAGCCGACTCTGTAGTCTCTGAAGACGTCCCCAAAAATGGTGCCAAAGAAAATGCCACGCCCACATCAATGACCGAGACCGTTCGCCGGGAACCTAGCGCGGCCATCAGGACTCCGTGGCGACAAACTGCTGCCAGTCTTGCTGACAAGGAAAGCACCCCGTTGAGCGGTTACCAGCCAGCTGCGAGGGGTCGCAGTATGAAGATCTTACGACCGACGAAGATATCCTCTATCAGCAGCATCAGCAGCACTGTTGGTCCGAACTCGCCGTCAACTACTCGATCAACGGGGGCGTTCGAATCTCCCTCCGTTCCACGGTCTAACGGAACCGATCTGCGACGGACCAAGGGCTCGACAGCTAGCGCCGCTGCGGCGGAAGGCAGTCAGAGCACCACCAACAGCCCCACGGTAGGCAGTTGGGGTCCCTCCAAACGCAGTCTGAGCACCAGTGCTAGCGCTTCCAACCTTGGAAACTTGGAAGGTGGCAAGGGCATCGAGACTAGGGAGCAAAGGTCTTCGTCATTGGCAACCACTGTAGGCAGTCCCATGCATCAGGATGGACTCAAGACGCCGACGGCTCCCAGATTGGCCACGAACCCTCTTGGTAGTGCATCTGCTTTTGCTTGGATGGGGAGTAAAACGGCGGGTAAGGCGTCTGCGAGTCCATTCTAGAGTGCCATGTGGCAGCGCAGAAACCAGGAGAAGAAGGTTGACCATGGAAATTTCCAATGCGACCCGAGTTGTTCGGCCGTGTCCAGCATTTTGTATCCCGAACCCTCAGCGTGCTGGATGGTGTTGCCGGATGGAAGCGAAGAACCGAAATTACAAAAGCGAAGAGCAATAGCGAAGGGATGTGAAGACACATTGGGTCGCACAAACAGGTACCACTAAGTTCTAAAAAAGCTGAATAATATCGAGTATTTGTCGAAGTTCTAGTAAAGAAACCTCCTGTGTCGGACATACTTCTGCGTGTCTTGAGAGCCCGAATTATTGGTGAGGGAGATGAGTGAGGAAAGAGTGCGAGGGCGCCGTGTCCGACTAGGTACATGTCTGTCCGCCAATGATTCGCGAAATACTCTGATTCTATCTCGCATACCCTTATCAGGTGAGTCTATACGACCTCATTCATTCTCCTAGTCAGCATCCACCGCTCGTGCTTCCAGTTATTCCACACCTATATCCCAAAGCCGGTTACATGTAAAACAAGGCCTTGTATCGGACCTACAATGTATGGCCGTCAATATCGGCCATTTTTCTGTTCTCTTGTCCCTCCTGCCGTTCCAATAGTACCACCTCGATGCCCGTGGATAAATTCCATATGGAGACATACGCATGGACAGCATCTGACCTGCAACATTTACCCGTCTCTGGGCACTATCGTGCGTTGTCCACGTATACGTTGGTTGAGAGGCAAGTGATTCTTACCATATGCTCTACGACTCTGTACAGCCAAAACTGACCATTAGGCAATATTCAGCGCTGATGGCCCACGACGTTGATCGGTCTGCATGACTTGCAAGCTCCAAGCTCATTAGGTACCTCATCTCACTTTGGACGTGTCGGTAGCTATATCCAAACTACGATTAGTCTTCTCCCCTTCACTAAACATGGGTGTTATAATACCACCACCTATGTATGACACTTAACAGGACAGGATCTGTTGAGACGATGTGAGCAGCTTAACGGATAGAGTTCGGCACACCACCACCGCCAACGCTGGATTCCAACTGATATAGGAATAATTAATTCGTCTACGCATCTAACACGGCTCTGCCCTCGGACGGCAGGAAGAACCATGAGGCGGGTTTGCGGCGAAGGAATTGTGAGGGGAACCATGAAACGGATTATCGGTCTACCAGTCTATAAGACGAGGGGATACCCCCGCGTCAATAGCTCAGTACTGATGTTCCTGAACTTTTCCACCTCTTTGTCGCAGAGACACCGCCAGAAATCAGGTGAAATCAACGACAACGACCAATATCGAAAGCAGTACCAAAGCTCACGATGCTTCTACCCAAGTCTAAAAACATCCTTTTGGCTCTGGTGGCTGCCATAAGCCACGCCACTGCCGCTCCCTCTTCCTCCTCCTCCTCCTCTTCCAACCATGATGGTTCAACCTTAGTCTCTCGCCAGTCCATCAGCACCATAACCGTCGACCTCACCAAGACCTACCAGACGATGGACGGCTTCGGCTTCAGCCTCGCCTTCCAACGGGCCAACCTGATTACCAACATGTCCGACAAGGTCAAGCAGCGGGAGCTTTTGGATTTGCTCTTCAACCGGACCACCGGCGCTGGGTTTTCGATCATCCGTAACGGTATTGGGAGTAGCCCGGATAGCCGTGGCGACCACATGAACACGATTGCGCCCACGAACCCCGGCGGCCCGAAAGCTGAGCCGCAATATGTCTGGGATGGGAAAGATAGTGGGCAGTTGTGGGTGACGCAGAGGGGAGTGGCTGAGTATGGGTTGGAGCATGTTTATGCTGGTTTGTCTCTCCGGACTCCTGTGGTGTTGGTATTGTTGCTTGTCTTCATCCAGTTTCATTTTCCCTTGTCTCTATTTCTCTTCAACCAGACCAGACCAAACCAGACCAGACCAAAAGATATAAAGGCTGACCGGAAGAACTATACAACAACAGACGCCTGGTCCGCCCCCGGTTACATGAAGACAAACAATAACGAAAACAACGGTGGTACCCTCTGCGGCGTCCCTGGCGCCACCTGCTCCTCCGGGGACTGGCGCCAAGCTTACGCTGACTACCTCGTCGCCTACATCCGCTTCTACCTGCGGTCCGGCGTCGCCATCTCCCACCTCGGCTTCCTCAACGAGCCCGAGTTCAGCGCCTCGTACGCCAGCATGCGGTCTTCGGGCGCCCAGGCCGCCGACTTTATCAAGAATTTCCTGTACCCAACCCTTGTAGCACAAAGCCTGGATGAGCAGGTCGGCATTGTTTGCTGTGACAGCGAGGGGTGGGGAAATCAGGTACAGATGACGAATGCGATCAAGTCAGCGGGCGCGGAGGGGATGTTGAAGGCGGTTTCGAGTCATACGTATACGGGAGGGCCGTCGGGAGCGATGATTACCAGGGCCAGAGTCTGGTTGAGCGAGCAGTGCGATTTGAACGGCGGGTGGGATACCAAGTGGTATGGAAACGGCGGTGCTGGGGAGGGACTGACGTGGGCGAATAACGTGTATTCGGCGGTGGTGAACAATAACATTTCGGGATATGTTTACTGGTGAGTGTCTTTCTACTTTTTTTACCCCCTTTCTCCTCAATATTTACTTGCCGTATTCTGGTGAAGTCAAGATTCTGACTCTAAGGGTGATGGGGAAAATACAACAGGGAAGGAGTCCAATGGCCCTCCCCTAACACCAACGAAAAGCTTATCCGCGTCGATAACTCTACAAACACCTACGTCGTCTCCAAGCGACTCTGGGCGCTAGCCAACTGGTCGCGGTACGTCCGTCCAGGTGCCGTCCGCGTCAGCACGGCCGGGTTGCCTAGCGGATTGAGGACCGCCGCGTTCAAGAATGAAGACGGTAGTATCGCCGTCATTGCTATCAGCTCGTCAGGATCGGCTATCAACGTCAATGTCAAGATTACGGGGACAGGGACTGAGATGCCGCTGGGAACGACCGTGGAGGCATATGTGTCGGACAATAACCGGAACTGTGAGAAGGTACCTGGGGCGGCGAGTCTCGGTGCCGATGGAACGATCACGGGAACGGTGGCGAGTAGGTCGGTTACTACATTTGTTGTGCCGGGGAAGTGGCCTTGCTTAACTTGTGTGTAGGGAGAGCAGTGATGTTTTGAGGTAACTTCAGTTGGGCTATACATACTGTGCCTGGAAAAAGTTATTTGGCACGGTCCGTATGCAACCAGGGTGGCTGGCTCGTACTCCCGCTCTGCCGTTGGTTCCACTTAGTGGGGCCAAAGCAGTCATCGCCAGAACACAAATAGTAGAAACCCTTAAAAAACTACATTTAAAACAGACCGGGATATTCTACGCAGTAACTGGCATATATGCAGTTCCTGAACCCAAATATTAATAGAGTAGAGAATTCTAAGCAGCGAAAGTTTATGTATTAACTGTCACGGCGCTAGCGGACCACTACATCACTAGATTATATTCCAAAAGGATACAAGTAACTGAAGCTGGCAGTTCGGTCGCTTAAGTGGTCTTATATAGTTTGTCCCGGAAGAGGCACACGAGTGCATTTCGTGACAATTAAACTATGTTTCCTAAATATTCAACGTAAATATTGGAGAAATAATTGAATGATTTTTCTTTTCTACTTTTTTGAAATTTAAATATAATTGTATATTTCATAATTGATAAGAAAAAAAGCGTCTATAATTTAATTATAATCATTAATAATATTTTTCTTTTAAATAAGAAATGTTGGTATCAAGCTCACTAATGAAAAAATTACGTTAGTAAGTAGTATTTACGTTCTTTTTGAATTATTTATATACTTTAATCTTAACTTATTATATATTTAAATCCAAATTTTTAATAAAAAGATTTATAATAGTAAACCACTTCTAAATTGCTTTATTAAAAGTACGCTTAGGGGTATTTTAAATATTTTAATTATAAGAAAAGTCGGATTTACTACGTTTTAAAGTAGTAGTATTATAATTATCTGTCATAGGTTAGCATTGGCTATATAGTGTGCATTTCGAGTTCTGCCTTGCAAGTAGAATATCGTCCTATCTTTTGTAGGTTTAGCTGTCTGTGTCACAGGTTGGCATTAGCTATATAGTGTGCATTCCAAGTTCTGCCTTACAAGCAGAACATCGTCCTATCTTTTGTAGGTTTGGCCGTCTGGGCATATGCATCCCAGCCTGTCATACGCCGCTTCCTCAATCACTGTAATGCCTCCGTCCGAACAATATAGATATAAGAACTAGTAGTTCAGTTTTTTTAATCTTACTACGTAGTTAAAAGACCTGTTTTCTATCCTTCCTACTCCCATAAATAAGTAGACATATTGTTGGAAGTCCGTGCCCTAAGCACTTCCTTCCAGGTATTTAGGTTACCCTGGTTTTCGTTTCTCCTCTTCCGAAAAACAACAACAATCAAGCCCTTTTTCGTTGTCGCTTTTTTTTTAGCCCTCCGACACATATCGCTTAACTAGTAGTTGGGTCGGTGACGACTAGCGAATCCCAAGTGTTATATGTTTTTTTCTACTTATTTTATTCCCTTGCTGTCTGTTCTAGCTAGCTAGTCATCTTTTTTATTGCTATGTTGACCCGCCGGTCCCGTTTTATTGATATCTTCTACTACCTCCGGGCGTTTGTTTCTAGTTTTTACTCTTTTGCTCTCCTTTCTATTTTCTTTATACTTTTATATTTCCAAATCTAGCAACGTTATTATATCACTCGGCGACGAATCTGCTACGACTCCTTGGACCTTCGGAATATCTTAGGCATCTTGAAAACCTATCTTCAGTTATCTCCACGTTAGGTTCCGTGGGTTAAAAGTTGAGTTCGGGACTGTTGGGCAAGATCCGGATGTGGTGGAGACCCGGAGCACCGAAAGGCCCGGAACGCGAGCCGGGAAAAGTGGAGACCTGGGATATGCTGACCCGGTGGGCTTGACTTAGGAGAAAGCCGGCCCTCTGTCGGCACCCAGATCCACCAGGACATGCTTAGAGAGCTAATCCCTCTGTCAAAAGTTGAATAAGCCAGGTTTTGTTTGCTTTGACTCTTAGACATGGTAAATGCGTGGCTAGCGGAAGGTTGTAGCCCGAGTGTTGCAGGTTCAGTTCATTTCAAACAAGGCGGGAAGGAGCATCAGGACCATGAAGTGGAAATGGAAGAAACAGCACACAATTTTCCTCTTTTCTTGGCAACCAACCATCGTTCAGATTCCTCACTTGCGTCCTATCCTCAAAGCCATTGTCGTCGCAAATTTTGAACCTAGTTCAAATTGTTTGTCATCTTGGTACTTGTGAGTATTTGGCTTCCCCATGGTCAAGCTGTCACATATAGCTCGTACTACGGCGGTATCCATCTGATCCCATATATGCTGCTGGATCATGTCAGTCATGACCAGCAAGAAGATTGAAAAGGTGATTTCCATGTTTGTCATATACAGGTTCGCACGCCCGGGTATCTACCAACATGTCCAAGAGGATGTTACACGCATCCTGTTCTTATGCTTGACATGCCGTTGTTCTTTTCACCAACTTTTTCATCCATCTTTTCCCTGCTCCCGTCTTGGGCCCGGGGTTTTCGCCGGGTCAAGCGGTTGAACCCCGTCGTCCAAAATTCGGGATCTCATGCTTCGGTGAGATTCGAACGTTGAGACACGGGCCGCGTTTCCTGGCCTGTCGCGTCCGAAATAGCCGTCTTGACTGTCTTCTGTGACCTAATGGTGCTCTGGTCCCCATCACGCAGTGTCCCGGTCTCCGACTCGGGTACCGTCCCCTTGCCGGCCAACCAATGCTCGTGCGCTGTGGGCTTCCTGGCCGTCATGACTCGGAGCTTGATCACAAAGCTGCCGGTCCTCGTCGTGTCCTCAGCAATCGCCCTCGTGTCTTGAGCGGCCCGCTTACACATGTCCCGCACCACCTTGGGGTCCCAGCCCAGATCCTTGGTCAAAGAGCGCAGGCAGCACGCCTCCAGTCCCGTGACCACTGTGAACAGCCAGAAGCTTCCGTAGCTGCTGTTTTCGCGGGCGCCTACGCCCATGTCGTACACGGTTTCGTTGACGTCCGTGTACCCGACTTCCTCCAAAAGAGCCTTATCCATGTGCCCAATCCCGCGCGGCCGTCCTGCCACTCGCGCCGCTTCCAAAACACCTTCGGCCAACAAGTGTGCGGGCGAGTCTGGCGGGTAGAACGACAGGAAGTTCTCGGAGGAGAAACAGTCGTCATAGTCGATAACCTCGATCCAGCCGCCGGGTTTTAGACAGGTGTAGGCCTGCTGATAGATATAGCGCCAGTCAGAAAAGGCGCCTTCCATATTCCGAAAATGGACCAGGTCGACTGTGTCGGGCGGGCGGATCCACTCGTCCTCGGCGTTCTCGATGTGAAACTCGACATTGAAGGGTACTTGGTGGGTTGGCTGGATGGGCGCAATATCGGTACCGAATACCTCGCATTGCGGATACTTTTCTGCCATCCCTATCGCCCATTCGCCGATACCCGTACCGATGTCGAGGATGTAGCGGGGGTGTTCCAACGGTACCGTGGTCAGCTCGAGGTTGAAGAGCTTGAGAAACACTTGGTGAGCTACGTATTGGCGCGTTTGCTCAGTTTGGTCAACTGGCATGAAGTAGTCGCCACAGTAGGTCCGATCGTGCTCGGTGGTATAGTCGACATCTTCGGCGTATAATGTTCGCGCTGAGTCACTGGAGAAAATGGAGACTGTGAGCACGCCTCTACTATCACGGACACACATGCCGTTTTGGCAAAATCATTGAACGCACATTGTAGCATCGTCATGCGCAGAGCCAGAGCCAGGGTGATAAGGACGTTCGACTTGGTACGCAGCCGTCATGTTGGGGTAGGCATCCATGGTGTATATCGATACTGTGTCTTCGTTTTCGTCGTCTACCTCGAGCTGGGCAATGGCGGGATTGGGATTGTCCATTGTCATTAAAGTGTCTCCTGACGGGCTTTGACTCCCCCCTCCTTGCTGGCTTGCTGCCGCCGGGCTGTTCACATTTCCAGCCAAAGGTCTTGGACTTTGGGCTTCATTGGGGCCAGGAGAGGCTCTCTGATTTTGTGGCATTTCTTCTTCCTTGTGTTTTGGTGTTGTTGGTCCTATCTGTCTAGCGAGTGCCTGGTAGTAATGATGGGTGTGTTTGCTCGTCGCCGTCTTTTACCCATTAGATTCGTGGTTGAATAGTTGCTGAAATGGCGAGCTAGCCGAAGGACCGCATGAGAGGCCGCGTTAAGTGAGGGGACAGCGGTGTTGTAATCGTTTTGGTCTCCCTCATACAGATGTTGCTTGATCAAACGAGGGTGTGGAGGAAAGGAGACACACAAGGGTTGGGGGAAAACCGAAGAAGGAAAACAAAACTGACACACAAGAAGCGAGGAACGGGAGGAGGTTAGTACTCGGTAGGAGGTGAGGTGGGATGGACGAGGTCCCAGGTCATTCCAGACCTCTCTGATCGGGGCCAAATGGGAGGCGGCCAGATGGGGAGGAGAGACGGGTAGCACCAGGACGGGACGGGACTGGCTAGAGTTGTGTCGTGGACCGTCTGCCTCTGGGGCCAGGACCGGGGCAAAAAGTGAAAGAGAGAAAACAGAGTGAAGACCAACGAAACTCGACAGACGACGACTCCCTTTGAGAGCGAAGAGAGAGGCGGCCGGGACTGTTGACCGAGAGCAAAGAGTCGGGCGTCTGGCTCTAGGCCCGCAATTAATAAAGTGAGGGTGGACGATGGGCACAACGGGCTAGCGCACTTTGTAGCTAGTGCCCCTTAGGGTCATCTTTTGTCTCCTTCAAGGAACAGTGGCTCCTTGGCATGCCCGGCGCCGGGAACCCAGGAAGGCAGGCCCGGGACAGTGTTCTGAATGCGCACTGGTGGTGGGCGATGGTGGGTGACTGCCCGGACTGCAGTGCCGTACCTAGCGCACCGTCCCACTGGGACTGGCTGCCACTGAATGGGACTCCCGTCTGATGGAAACCGCACTTCCAATTTGCCCGTGTCGTGATCGATCCGCCCTTCCCTCGTCCCGTCCCTGACGACGAGAGCGGAGAAGGACGATGAGCTGGGACGAACGCCAACGAGGTCGGTCCACCCGTGCTGCAGATGCGCGCACGCAAAACAACCTGGAACCGACAGCTGGTAGCCAGTTGGAAGAGAGCAAGCAGCGCAGTCTCCAGCTTGAGAAATGCCTGGGGCATGAGCAGGAACAAGTCTCACCGTCCGGCTTTCCCCCAATGGCCACTCGCGGCCGGGGACTCGATTGGCGTTGACAATCACCCACCACGACCACGATTGTGCCGCAAAACTGCCTCGGTAGCAATCGTTTCTCGACTCTTTAAAGCCGGATGATACCCCGATGATACCTGAAGGAGATCAGTGATCATGCTGTACGTACCCAAAGTGACCTGACATGAATGATGTTTTACCAGGAGGTCGGATATGTCGTATCACAACCCAGAGTGCATGCCAAAGTGCATTTCAAGGTGGACGACGAGCGGGGCAACAATTGCTCCCGTCCCCGTCTCCTGTCCGTCCGTTCCCCGTCAGAAGTCAGGGCCCCCTTTGCCGTGTTTGGTGGTGTTTTCACCTCGGGCGGCCCATCCACAATCCGAACAAGAGATGCATCGACAAGGTAAAAACGGTGCATCGCCTGAGGCCCATATCCCATGGCCATACATATCCATTGACCGTCTTATCCAGCTGCCGAATTGAGAGGCCCTTTCCGACACCCAGCCTCAGCCAAACCAATGCCGAAGAGACCGTGTGCGTTTGTTTGTACACTTCATGACCGGCACTGGATGGTGGAGTCAGCCGCAGCGGAATACACCAGATGGACGGTCAGCGACAGTGCGGTGCCGTAGGAATGAATTGGCCGGGACTGCAATGGTGGGAAAAAGAGAGGAGGGAAAGGGAAAAGGGAAAAGAGGGAAGAACAAAAGGGCGCTTTCTCGACCTCTCCGTGCGCTCGTAACGACACCAATCCAAATTCCAAGCAGCGGGACCAACCAATCAGCAATCCGCAATTCGAACCGCTGCGGCTCCGAGCGATCTGTCTCTTCCCTTTTCCACTGAAAAAGACCCATCGCATTTCTCGGGCGCGCTTCCCCGTCCGCAAATGCAATCCTGCAGCATCTCGGGTCGTTCTGTCCTCTCTTCCTTTCCTTCTCATCCTCGGCTTCTTGGCTTCACTTCTTTTTTGCCTTCCTTCAGATTCTTCAGTTGGCTCTGGGTGAAACACGACAACACCAGCACTTTTTACATCCCACAAGACTCCGAGGGTGACAAAGTCCTCATTGGAATCCAACTCGACCACGTATAATTGTACCCTGTGTTCTTGCCCCGACATTTCACAGCCTACACCGTACACGACGGGTCATGTTAAACATTTGCAACAATACAACATCCGACAGCCGCGGGAGCAGGAGCAGCAGCAGCAGGAGTGGCAGCGGTAGACGGGCATATCCCCGAGACACATCGTCTTGTCCCAAGCCCTCATTCCTGCAACTACCCTTCAACCAGCTGATTGGGACAATCCCGAACCCGGTGCGCTGGACTCGGGGCTGCCTTGACAGCAACCATCACTTTGGATGGAAGCACAGCTTTGGTGCCATGTGGTGAGCGTAAGAGCCATGTATGTATGTCTCCTCTCCATCATTCGGTCTCACGGATATGAGACTTCTTTGCACGACGCCGAACCCAGCCCTTGCTCGAGCAAAGAGAATCCTCATCAACCTCCGATGAACCACTATTGCATAGTGGGGCGAGGCGCAACAATGGAATACCAAGGGCCAGCAGTACTATAAACACCTGAACTAGACGTACAGTAGCGGGCTATCATCCAGTCCACCGGGCCGGTAGGGCGTCTGATTAAGTGATAAGTATCTCTACCGCGTTACTTAATATATGTCAGGTCCAAAGGGACGGAGGGAGATGTCATGGCGCCCTTCATTCAAAAGGCGCTCTTTGGCTCTGTCCTACCGTACATCTCTTTCATCTCCGATCCAGGCCCCCCAGCAAGTGCTTATTCTCGTGGATTGATGTGTTCGCTCGGTACCCCGTACCTGGCGTTTAGCTACCAACCAGCAACAAATCGGACCCCACACAGATCTTTTACCCATTTTGGACCATTGTCGTGGTTCTCTGAGCCTCCGGATTTATAATCCATGGAATCCGGAGATGTGCTCTGCAGGATGTCTAGTGCATACTACGATATCATGAACTTCTTATGGTTGTGTGGTCTGGCCCTCGCCAGATGCCCTGGCCGCCCCGGGATGGAACTCTGGAGATGATTTCTTTTGTATTTTCCAACGGGCGGCCTAACTGAGCGTGATCATCCGGTAACGACACTTATGCCGAGCGGGAGTACGCAAGATGAGTGCATCGATGATCCTTCCGGTGGACGAGCTCTGTCGAGTATGTACTAGATCTGGTGTATGCCTACACCAAGCTCGATGTTCAGTCACTTGAGAGGATGATTTGATGATTGCACTAGCACGGGAATATAGCAGTTATAGGCGTTTCATGTTAGCGCCTGCTTGACCACCTTCCCACCGTAACGAAGCATCATGAAGAAGTCATGATCATCTCCATCTTCCCTTCCCTTCCTTCCTTCCTTCCTTCCTTTCTTCCTTTCTTCCTTCCATCCTTTCTTCCTTCCATAGATCCTGCCAATCCTTCCAATGCTTCCAGACTCTCATCCCGCCGCTCGTCGCCAATCACTCTTCTGCCGGCGCGGAGTGCATTCGAGTTGTACATCTCAGACAGTATCCTACAAGCCATTTGTCCACTGACTCCTTCCGAGTCGCCATACACAACACTCTACAGACCGGCCCGACCCTCGCTTGCACTTTTGACTGAAATAGCGGTCAACTCTATCACTTTTTCTATCTACCAACCTGTCACACGTGTTTTCATTCCCGCAGGCCCGAAGCAAAAGAGAAAAAAGAAAGACAAAAAGGACAAATCCACCTACCCGGGAGATATCCCGTCTTATGTAAGAGGCCAGAGAGATGTCTGACTGCGAGTGACTGTTTCTGTCACTTTATTACTGTACCTGGAATAGGTAGTGCAGGTTCGACCGACCGACTCAAGCTTCCCGGCAGGTTTAGACAAAGATTTGGACCCCAAACTCCGTCCAAAGATCCCGCCGGAGCGGAGGCAAAGGGGAAGAAAAAGCAAAGAAAGTCACCTCAAAGAAAGGATTCCAAAAAAAAAAAAAAAAAAAAAAGGCCTGTCACTCCTGTCAAACGCATCCCAGCCCGGTTGTCAGATCTCTGGACTCGTCTCGTCTCTAAATTTCTCCTGTTCGTGCCTTCCTGCAGGTTTGCTTGTTGTTTGTTCCTTTCCCTGTCTTCTATTGGAGAGATAGAATACTAATGCAAGAGGCAAGGGATCAAAATGGACTGACTAGATGTATGGATGGATGTATGATATCAGAGAAGGCCTTGAGTTTTCCAAAAGGTAAAACCTATGTACGGGATGGCGGACGTAAGTAACGTAGCAGCAGGAGACGAGACGCTCAACCCCCTTTTGTTCTGTTTCAGAGATAGCCAGTTCATGTATTTCTCCCAGGCATTGTGGCTTCATGTCTGCTTAATCTGCTTCTGGAAAAACAAAGTTGGCGGTATAGGTATGCGGGCTCTATGGTAAAACGGTGCCAAAAGGAAGAGATTGCGCGGCTATCCTATGGGTCATTGGATTATTCAAAAACATATACAACGTCGGCTTCTCTCGCTAGAAGAACCAAATAACCGAGACAAAGAGACGATAAAAACAAAAACACATGATCAACACCTCTCATTTTGAAGAACTCTATGTGTAAAGTGCGGTCAATTGATTGACCTTCGCTCATCCCTTACCTGTTGAAAAAATTGCATCACGAGCCTCTCAGGCAGAGCCCTGTCCGTCTTTTCCGGCAATCCCCAGCTGTTCTCTTCCCAATGTCTAGTGTTGCGCAGCAAAACACATTCCCGTATATATACTGGTATCAATCCCAACTCATTCCATCTGGTATCAAAAGAAACCCTTTAAAAATAAGGGCACAGAATACAGCCCCTACAAGCCCAAGACAAACCCAATATAACGAACTCCCTCGCCTCTCCACTTTGTGCCTCGGTATACACCCTAAAAAGCAAAACCATAACCATCTCATCAAGCTTGTCCACGACAAGTTAGCACCGGGGCCACCTTCCTAAGCAATAATTCCCCGGGCCTTCTTGTTGAAGCCGTTGTGGTTGGTGATATCATCTCCGATGGTCGAAAGTCTGCGCTTACTTCTTCGTGACCGTATTTCGTCGCATGATCGCGGCTCGTCATAATCGGTCGTTGGTCGATCATCTGTATCCTCAATGTCGAAACCGTCGCCGTCATCTAATGTGATCCCTGGACTTGCTAGTCCGATGCTGGTAGCGGGATCTCTTGAGCACGGAGAACGCAGGGCGCGGCTTCTTGGTATCCTACTAGGCCCGTAGTTCGTGCGGTTTGGCGACATTACCCTCGCGCTGCATTGGTAACTTTTTTCGTGGTAATTTTGTTGATTTTGGCGCCCTGACCTGTTCGAACACAGTGTCTCCTTCGATGTGTCAGATAACAACGAAACCGTCGTCTTCTCTCCCATAAATTCCGGAGTGACGGCCTCGTCACACACCTCCACTTTTCCCCCGTCCACCTCATCTCCGCTCCCAGCTGTAATTGGGAAAGGCGTCAATACGTTGGTGATATCGCCCCACCACCTCTCTCCAAACCGTCTGTACCAGTCCACGGTGATTCTGAGTCCTTCCTCGAAGCTCTTCTTTGGCTCCCAACCAAGTTTTCGCAGTTTCGTGCCGTCAACGGCATATCGATGATCGTTGAAAGGGCGATCGTGAGTGTACTTCACCCATCGGTAAAACTCTTCTTGTTCTGCCACAAGAGGTGACGAGGCCGGTGATGTGGTGTAATTGCAAGGAGGGGATGATGAAGGAGACCGAGGGGAGATAATCTCCATCTCACTTAGGAGTTTGTGACAAAGCGACAGGTTGCTGATCTCATCGTAAGAACCAACATTGTAGATCTCTCCAAGCTGGCCTCTGTGCAAGATGGTATCGAAGGCGTCGGCGGCATCGGATGCATAGAGATATCGGCGAGTGGGTGAACCGTCTCCGTGAAGGACGACGGGCTTCCCACGGGCGAGTAAGCAGGTAAATTTTGGAATGATTTCTGCCACAGTGATTAGCAAGGTAAACACTAGGGAAAGGGGATAAACTCACTTTCTGGGTACTGATGAGGGCCATAGACATTGTTGCTCCTCACTATAATTACGGGTAGTTTGAAGCTCTTCTTGTAAGAGTTCACCAACATCTCGGCAGCAGCTTTACTGGCCGCATAGGGGTTGGTGGGTGCCAGAATGCTCGTCTCCAGAAGATCATCTTCGTCATCCTTCACCTCGCCATACACCTCATCGGTAGACACGTGGATGAAGCGGTTGATGCCCACTTTCCTGGCACTCTCGAGCAGAACATGGGTGCCGTAAACATTGGTATGAGTGAAACCAAACGGATCTCCAAAACTCAGATCGACATGTGATTGAGCGGCAAAGTGAAAGATGGTGTCGATATTATACCGCTTCAGACAGTCCATAACCTCGGAAGGGTTCGTGATGTCGCCTTTGTAAAAGGAAAAGTTCGGCTCATGTTCTAGTACCCTAGTGTTGTTGAGTGATGCGCAGTAGTCCAGTTTGTCGAAAGAGACGACATTGTAGGCTTCTGGATACGTCAATACCAAGTGTCTGACAACCCAACATGCTCTGATACAACCCAGCTTTGTTAACCCCAGACATATAAATAATCAAAATAGGGCAAAACGAGGCTAGACAGGGGTGGATGTTCGTGGGTAGGGTAAGTCTTACATGAAACCAGCGCCTCCCGTAACCATGATGTTCTTTACATCAGACAGAGGGGTGAATTTTGTGGTGCCGGTAAATACAGGAGCATCGTGCCAAGTCTCGTTGTCCTCGGAAAAGCTCTCCTGTTGAGAACTGGGCGAGATAGGGGTAACCGCTTACCACACGAAGATTGGTCAGCTTGAAAGTTGAACGCAAGCCATGATCTCTATCTTTTTTTTTCTGGTCTGAACTCACCACCGTTGTACCGGCTAGTTGACTCGCGTGTCGCGAACGTCATCATTTGGCTCTGGCCGACCCCAGCAACCCTGAAACTCGAGATCTGATGGCAAAAGTGGCTGGCTGCGGTGCGCCCTTCCTTATGAGCCACCCGATAGTTTGCGCGGAGGCGTACGAAGTACGCCTGGCGACTGAGTGGATGAATACCCAACGAGTGTCTATGAAACTTCCTCTTGGTGAGCAATTGAAATCTGACATAGACCTGCATCGCATCATTGCAGACTTGTGTCTTGGACAACCACATACATGAAGACGTGCAGTGAAATATGCAGAGCGCTTAGACGCGCAAGTGTATCTGTAAGTTACTTGACAAAACCTCGGAGGTACGGCGCCTTTTTAGGTCTTTGAAAGGGTCGAGAGTGATGATCACGGACTGGACGCGCCATACGAATGATGAGGGCGGAGTTGAGAACAAACGCAAGTTCAAGAGACGAGACAGCAAAGTGTGACAGCGGCGTGACTGTGACACAAATAAAGTTGGAACGAACGTGGTGGAAGAAGTCAGGTTCTCGAACGTAATTGTCGTAATGGTAATGGTCGTATTGATCCCTGGCGGACCTTGGCCCTCCGAACACCCAAGACTCGGTGCCACCGATTCGGTATGCGCACCAGTACCACCTCGGCTGGGTAAGAGGGCGCTAAGTCCGCGAGAAATAGATTGATGATGATGATGATGATGGGAGAAGGAAAAGTTTTTGGGGTTGCCACTTTTGTGTTAGATTGAAGGATTGCATTTGGAAAGATTTCATTGAGACTTGCTGCCAATGGAATGAAACCCCGCGTCAACCAAAGAAAACATCCCTGTACGGCCCTGAAAGTTACGTGACGCTACGGGCAAAGATCCGAGGGTGTCACTGCCACCTTTCAACGACAAGTCCAAGGTTCCTGCCCGGTTTGTTCTGTGTTTTTGGGACGGATGATATGCGGTGCTGCCCCTGATTTGAAACTTAGTTATCGTTCCACCTATCAACACCACTATAAATACTGATATGCCGCCCGAGTCCCCACGAGGGCATAACCCACTGCGGGTTGGGTTTTATTTTGATGACTCGAAACAACCTAACAACGACCAAGCGGAAAAACATGGGAATAGCATCTAGCTGATAGGCGCGGTTGAAATTCCATTTCTCTCCCCGCAAAAGTCCACCCGCCTCCGATTTCCCCGTACATCTCCACGTTTCCTTCCTTATGCCTCTCTTTTAAAGTTTAGGTTTCTCCGCTCAGCAGGTGGGGACGCCGCGGTGCGTCATATGGAAGGGCCATCTCCTAAAACCCTCGGTCTTCCCACATCCATATCATGGCCTTGTTGTCTTTGACCACTACCAACAAAGTTTTGTCTGCGGAATGGCAATGGAAGACTAAACCAATGCCGTCAAACAAACGTCTTCATCCATGACGAGACCGTCGCTATTTTTCTGGGCATCTTTATGGTAAAATGGATCTTCCACTAGCCTCATGCGAGGCACATCATCTTCAACGTCCTGCAGTGCAGCTAGGGTACCACACCCACCTCCACATCGGCACCTGTACCGGCCTGCGTGCCTGTCATTGCGGATCGAGATGTACAAAACAGACGCGGTGTTACTTGGGCCGAATATCAACAATGAGCCATGATGGCTGTCTCCGTCTTGGCACCCTTCTTCGTTCATCCACGGAAGTAAACTCCGATTTTCTTACCCAAGATGGGAAACACTGCGACACGGATTCCTCGGGACTCAGTGTCAGACTCGTTAATACCGTCGAGGGCCTTGGAATGTGTATATGGTCTCAGCGGTTGAGACGTATAGCATGTTTCGGGAACGCTCACTTAAGCCGTGTTCATCACATCTTGTCCTACACGGAGAACCGTAGCCAAGGTGATTATCCTTTTCTTTTCCACGAAGGCTAGACGTTTTCGTCCATGTACAATGCTTTCGCGACACGCTGTAACTGATCGGTTAATATCTCAATGTGACTTTATTCCTCCGTTTTAAGAGAAGAGAGAGCTTGCCGTCTCTGTCTGCAGTGGCATTTCATAAGTCCGTCAGGTCTTTAACATCAATGATTCACCAGAAAGAGGATGGAATACTCGACAAGCAAGATGCTAGGAGACCAAGAGAAAGCAGCCACAGCGGCATCATCATCCTCAACGGAATCCAGCTCAACCAGAATCAGCGAGACAAACACTCGAATCAGCCATGACAGCTTTTATCTAGAAAAGTCAAAGCCACTAGGAGACCTCGAAGCCGGCGAAGACGAACACGACCAAAGCCTCTTGCTCCCCGAACAGCAAACCCCAATATCTCAATCATCAAGAGAAAACTCACCAGCATCCACTTTTTTTCTGGATGGCCATCAACACCATAGCCACAGTACTGATCGTAACTGACAACTCATTAATAAACCGGCAGGTCTTCACAAACAAATCCATCTTCTCCACCCGCTCCCTCCGGCTAACCCAGCTCTCCTTCGCAACCTTCCACTTCCTCACCACCTACCTGACCCTCTTCCTCCTTTCGCGCCCTCCCCTTTCCCTCTTCGTTCCCCGCTCCATCCCTCTACGGGACACTCTCCCCCTCAGCATCGCCATGTCCCTCAACGTGATCCTCCCAAATTTGTCACTAGCCTTTAGCTCTGTGACCTTCTACCAAATTGCCCGGATCCTGCTCACGCCGACGGTCGGGGTCATGAACTATGTTCTTTATCGGTCTGTTCTACCGGCGCAAGCCATATGGGCTTTGGTCCCGGCTTGTTTGGGGGTGGGGGTGGTTAGTTATTATGATACTTTACCTACTTCTTCTCCTCCTCCTTCTTCTTCTTTCCCAACAACTGGTCCAACAACAGACCAGCCCCTTGGCATCCTCTTCTCCCTCCTCGGCATCCTCGCCTCCTCCCTCTACACCATCTGGATCGCGCACTATCACCGCAAAGTTGGTGGCATCTCCAGCATGCAGCTACTGTACAACCAAGCCCCCGTAGCGGCCTTTATGCTGCTTTACGCGATCCCTTTTGTCGATGTCTTTCCCAATTGGAGGGTGGATGTACCCACGAGCAAATGGGTGTTGATACTGCTGAGCGGATTGTGGGCGAGCTTGATTAACATCAACCAGTTTTCCATCGTGGCAAGGACGGGGCCCGTGTCGAGTACGGTGGTCGGGCATGTCAAGACTTGCACGATTGTGGCCCTGGGTTGGGCGGTGGGTGGACGGGCGGTCACGGATCGAGCGGTGCTGGGGGTGGTGGTTGCGTTTGGGGGGATTGTTGCGTACTCGGTAGTGATGCTTAAGAAGAAAGCTAAAGAGGGCGGCCAGAAGTCGTAGACAGAATGATGAAGAAACTGGCGATGCATGCACAGAGCGATATTCGACACCAAGAACCCTCATGGCGACCTGATATTGTATGATTATGCCTTCCTCCCAAGCCCTTTTGTGAAACCGATAACGCCACACATACACACTCGTATAAGACAAATACTCTCCAGTACCAACACAGACATCGGTATACTGAAACAAGGGTATCACGAATACCTCCCTTAGAGGTTGAAGCGCGTGCGGACCTTCTCCATCTTGGCCTTCCACTCCCACTTCAGAGCATCCTCTCCTTCGCTGCCAGCGCGGCCGATACCCTTGTCCACTCTGCGGAGCTTGAGAGTGAATCCTTTAGTAACGAGTCAGCGATTGTTGTTCGATCCATAGAGATGTTAGTTTTCCACAGTAGGATGACTTACTGGGTCCAATCTCCTGCAAACCAGCGCGGATACCCTGCATACCCTCCATTTCCTTGCCCTCCGCAGTAACCACGTTCTTCTCCGTCGCGCGCGCCTCACGGAAGACGTAACGGTGGCGGCGGAAGAAGATATAATCACGCTGGTTGTGCAGCGTGACGACCTGGCGGCCTTGAAGCTCGGGCTTGGGAGGAAACATGGTGTGCATCGACTTGGCGGCGAGGATACCGAGAGGGGTCTTGAAACCGTTGAGAAGGAGCTCGGGCTGTCGTTTTTTTCACAATGATTAATCTCCATCTCCTCTGCTTGACCAGCTTATGGATCGAGATGGACGGCTTACATAGTGGTTTGTAGGGTTGCCATGACCGAGAAGGGCCTTTCCAGGTAGGTAATTGCGGATGGTGTACGTCAATGAAGGACCGGGGGCAACATCTTCGCCGTTGAGATGGATAATGGTGAGCGAGCTTGGCTTCTTGAGATCTTCGCCGACAATCATAAGAATCGTGTATCCGCGGTCTACAACAGTTCAGGTCAGTTAGCAAGTCTTGTCCTAGTCAACAGAGCTCCAGCTTAGGTGCGCCACTCACTCTTGGCGAACTTTGCAATCTCGCGAACACTGTACTTGTGTCCATAAGCATGCGCACTGCGTCTGATGTACGTGCTATTGGGGAAGATGGCAGCAATATCCTCCGCCTCCTTGTGAATTGTGCCGTTCAGATGGGTGGTGACAAGAACCTTGGGGTCGACTGGAGGTTCTTCGTTGAAGAGATTGGGGAATTGTCGTGTGAGCGAGTCGGGAGTCATGTCTAAATTTGTCGACGTCGTCGAGGGAGCGATGCTGGGTTTCCTCTGCGCGCGCTCCTGTCTGAGCCTCTCCATGCGCTCCTCGGCATCTTCATCGTCGTCTTCGAGCTCCTCGTCGGAGTCCAACATGGAATCGGCATCATCGTCCTTCTCCTCTTCCTCTGCCGGAAGGCCATCGGCTACCCTGGCGGCCTCGGCCTCCTCCTTCTCCAAGCGCCTCCTCTTGAGCTCGGCAACATCCACAGCGACGCCCAAGCTGTCATCGTCGACATCGTCCCACACACGTTTCCTCTCAATGGTCAAGGGTTGGTTGGTTGCGAGACGTTCTTCTCTGAGCTTGGGATCCTTGGCCTCCTCCTTCCTCCGACGGTGACGCTCCTCATGGCGTTCCTTTCCCTGCTCCTTCTTTTGCTTGACGTATAATTGCTTTCTGACGATCTTGTTGGAGGTCTTGAGCGACAGCGAGCCGCCGGAGCGGTGTTTGCCCTTGTTACCGGCAGGCATATCGGCGATGAGGTGGTGATGCGGTGATGGGATCGGTGGTTTTCGTAGTGATTGGGTTGTAGGGTCAATCCTCCAGATCGCAGTTCAGACCTCAACGAAATGCTGGGCAGTTTGGTTGTTGATAACAAGTGAATTGAATGGGCCCCGATAAACTTTCTCTAAACTTTTTTCTGGGCCCAGAGCCGCCAAGGACGCCAAGGCGTGTAGCCACAAGGGTACCCCAATGGCTAACGCACGGCCCCCAGCCGGGGACAGGTACGTACCGCTACCTAGTACCTACCTACCCCTCAGTACTTCCTCACTGTCACCTGCAAAGGGAGATGACTCCATCCCATCCCCCGCTGTCGGTCAGGCAAGTTGGGACGGAAGTGACTCTTTTGGGATGACGAACGGCAGTATCACGAAGTCTTCAAAGTCAATTGAGTGCCTACACTGAAAGTATGGTCAATAGCCGGTGAAAGGAGTCATAAGAAACTTGGAATGCCCTTTCTGTAGTGTAAGGGAGTTACAGCAGCATGTGCAGTTCCACTTCCTGATATGGACGGTGGATTCCAGCGAGTCGAGCCTTCTGTCGCGTACTACGCCCACTGACGGCGGGAATCTGGACCGCTGTCCCTTGGCTTCCACTTCCTGTCTGGGTTGGTGCCGGCCCCTCCATGGCGCCCCAAGAAAAAAAAATCATCCCGCGATTGTTAAAACGTGTTTGAAAAGGCCTCGACGAAACCAATAGTGGGCGACCGTGACTCACCTAGTTGGTTACATTTCGAGCACTGTTACAAGACCAATTCATGCGACCTCTTGCCCGTCTCGGCTCCCTCCGTGCTCCTGTTGCTGGTCAAGCCTTCAAATCCACGACGTTATCCACCCGAGCTGTCACCAGTCGAACTACTCGGACCCCGGCGACCATCTCGCGAATCTCTTCGACTTCGCTCCGATCTTTCTCCCTCTCGGCCCCGCACCACCGCTTCTACATCCCCATCAAAAGATCAGACACCGAGATGACCTCGACGGCCACCACCCTCAAGGGCCAGCCCCTCGACAAGGCTGCGCTGGAGTCCATGCTCCGTCGCCGCATGTTCTTTGCGCCCTCGTTCGACATCTACGGCGGTGTTGCTGGCCTCTACGACTATGGCCCGCCCGGCTGTGCCCTCCAGGCCAACATCATCGACATCTGGCGCAAGCACTTCGTCCTCGAGGAGGACATGCTCGAGGTTGACTGCACCGCCCTGACCCCCCACGATGTTCTCAAGACCTCCGGTCACGTCGACAAGTTCGCCGACTGGATGTGCAAGGACCCCAAGAACGGCGACATTCTGCGCGCCGACCACTTCGTCGAGGACGTTCTCGAGGCCCGCCTCAAGGGCGACAAGGAGGCTCGCGGCCAGAAGGTGGAGGAGAAGGACGTGGACGCCAAGCGCAAGAAGAAGAAGGCCAAGGGTACCGAGGCCGTTAAGCTCGAGGACGCCGTCGTCAAGGAGTACGAGGAGATCCTCGCCCAGATCGACAACTACAACGGCGAGCAGCTCGGCGAGCTCATCAAGAAGTACGACTTGAAGAACCCTGCCACCGGTCTCCAGCCTGAGCCTCCCGTGGCCTTCAACCTCATGTTCCAGACTGCCATTGGCCCCAGCGGCAACCTTGCTGGCTACCTGCGCCCCGAGACTGCCCAGGGCCAGTTCCTCAACTTCGCCAAGCTCCTCGAGTACAACGCCGGCAACATGCCCTTCGCTTCTGCCTCCATTGGCAAGTCCTACCGTAACGAGATCGCCCCCCGCGGTGGTCTTCTCCGTGTCCGCGAGTTCCTGATGGCCGAGATCGAGCACTTTGTTGATCCCGCCAGCAACAAGAAGCACGAAAGGTTCCACGAGGTTGCCGACATCGAGCTCGCCCTTCTTGACCGCAACGTCCAGCTCTCTGGCCAGACCACTGTCACCAAGATGACCATTAGCGAGGCTGTTGAGAAGAAGATTGTTGACAACGAGACCCTCGGCTACTTCCTTGCTCGCATCCACCTCTTCCTCAAGAAGATCGGTATCGACCAGTCCAAGATCCGCTTCCGTCAGCACATGGGCAACGAGATGGCTCATTATGCTTGCGACTGCTGGGATGCTGAGCTTCTTACCTCGTCCGGCTGGGTTGAGTGCGTTGGCTGCGCTGACCGTAGTGCCTATGATTTGACTGTGCACGCCAAGAAGACTGGTGCGCCCCTCATTGTTCGTCAGACTCTCGAGACCCCCGAGATCGTTGAGAAGTGGGACGCCGAGATCAACAGCAAGAAGTTCGGCCCTGCCTTCAGGAAGGATGCCAAGACTGTTGAGGCTGCTATCCTCGCTCTTTCTCAGGAGGAGCTTGCTAAGCTCGCTGAGGAGCTCAAGACCAACGGCAAGATCGTCATTGACGTTCCCGGTGTTGGTGAGGGCAAGGTTGATGTTAGCAAGGACCTGCTTGCCATTGAGTGGAAGAAGCACACTATCAACATCCGCGAGTACACCCCCAACGTTATCGAGCCCTCGTTCGGTATCGGCCGTATTCTCTACTCTCTCCTCGAGCACAACTACTGGGTTCGCGAGGGTGACGAGGCCCGTGGTGTAAGTTACATTCTTAAGGTTTACATGGTGGTATCCGCTAACCAGGCGCTTCTAGGTCATCTCCTTCCCCCCTGCCGTCGCTCCCGTCAAGGTCCTTATCGTTCCCCTCTCCAGCAAGGACGAGTTCGCTCCTCACGTCCGCAGGCTTTCCCAGAAGCTCCGCTCCGTCGGTATCTCCAGCCGTGTGGATGACTCTTCTGCCTCCATTGGCCGTCGTTATGCCAGAAACGATGAGCTCGGCACCCCCTTCGGCCTTACCATCGATTTCCAGACTCTTCAGGACGGCACCTTCACCCTCCGTGAGCGCGACAGCACACGGCAGGTCCGTGCTGAGGAGGCCAAGATTGTTGATGCCATCAAGGCGCTCGTTGAGGGCTCCAAGACATGGCAGGATATCGAGTCCGAGCTCCCTGTCTTTGAGGGCCAGGAACTTGAGATCCGCCCTGCTGAGAACTAGGATGTATCAAAAAAGAGAAGGAGTAAAAGAGTAAACAGATTTTGCTATTTAGTTTAGCATGCCATGTTTGGAGAACTTTTGGTTCGCTTTGCGGTAGACAAGACGTTTGTGAGCGAGCGAAGAATGAATGAATGAAAGCCAAAACGTAATGCTTGATTCCCACTGCATTGTGTGTGAGGTTCCATCACAGCACATCAGGTCTTGATGGTCACATCTTTTTCGCCAACAAGACAGACGCCTGCGCTGTTGGCTCATAAGCCCGTTCGTTGGCTTGAGCGACAAGAAACCTCAGACCAACACCAACCGGCAATACATGTGCGCAATCAAAAAGGTTGAGACTTTTCGCAGCGTAGTATTCCATCCTGACATGTGACGGGAAAGACAGTTTCGGGATATATCCACATATCCTGGTGGCTTTTTCATTTTGAGCGGCGGTTGAGAGACCAAACTTGAAACAAGTTTAGAACTCTTTTCATTTCGTTTCCTGTTCCTCTTCTCCCAGTCCATCCCCTATTTTGCTGCTACGTTTTACAACAACCCGACGACACGACGACGACAAAATCAAGAATCTTCGAGAGATTGATCATTTGTAGCGGAACCTGCCCGAAAAGTGTACAGTTGAATGCTACCTCTACCGTCTCTAACTATCAATACGATACATTCACATAGAACGCACGGGGCTCGTTTGTACGTTACGGCATACATACGGTATGTAGTGTATGGTAGATGTACATAGGTAGTACACTGCAACACAGATTTTAGCCGCGCTTCTGATGCACGGCAGTGGCAAAGACAAAGCCCTGCGTCAGAAGTCAGAAAGAACGACCTCGAAGATATCCAAAACATCTTTTGGGCGGTTCGCCGTTGACTTGAAAGGGGTGAGGGGGGGGGGGGGCGGATGGGTCGACCTTAGGTCCGGTCTTAGTGGAATTGAACCCTTGTCCATTCTGAGACAACGAAGTACCTATTGTACACGGGTCTCGACGGTTCAACCTTCTCACAAACTGTAGTAACGCGAGAGAAGCCACAGCCACATACCTATGTACAGAACGTCTCTCGTCCTATGCAGTGAGGAAGACGATATGTTCACTTTCTAGAAAGGAGCCAGGAACGAAAAGAAAAACAAACAATGGTAACCAGACGCGGTTCAGTTCCGTCCTTCGTCGAAACGCACACAGGAAGAGAAAAAAGAGGACGGGAAGCCATCTGGGCAGGTGATCGTCTCCCTCGTACCGTGGCGCGGACTTGAGTTCGCGTAGGTACCCCTTGCTTCAAATCCAGGGTCATACATACATACCCGTAGTTAGAAGAACCCCTGGATTCGGTTGGTACAGTCTTGGATACCTAGGTGATCTTCGCTTGTCCCAAGTCCCAAATCCCTCGAGATGTCGGGTACGCAGTATGTACGTATCCGTGTTCCGCAGTGGAAAACGCGACGGAAGACCCTGAAATTCTTCAAAGAATGTCTTGAGTAATAAACAGTTTGTTCTTTTTTCGTTGTTTCTGCTGACTCGGTGTGCAATACATATATTAGTATTGACGTACAATGAGCCCCTCGTGAGCTTCGTTTGAAGCTGAGACTAAGACTAACCACTACGTCGGTTGATCGTAGCGGCATAACAATATCGAACTAGCGGCAGAGAGTCTCCAGGGTGTTTAAGATTGGTCTGTATGACTTCACTGTCGTTTTGGTCTTGTCCATATCGGAGCCGAACACCGTTTCAACGGGACCGGATGAAAGATTGGTGATGAATAAAGCGGCGTGTAGGGAGGGTGATGACGGCATAACTTTCATGACAAAGAAGGTAGCGCCCAATGTTTTGATATCATACAAAGGGTGGTGTTCAAAAATTATGGGAGTCTGCATTCCGTGAGAGCGTAGAGGTATACACCTGCGCTTGAGAGCCTCACGACGGCGGACGACATACGGGACGAGGAATGAATGCAGCGATACATATGTATCTGGGATGGGCTCCCCAGTCTTTTGTTATTTACAATTTCAGGGCTCCCCTGACTGGCGCAGAGCATCTCAATTTCCATCATAATGAACTTCAGGCTTCCTCAGTGGCCGATAATTCCACTGCTCTCACCATTCCGCTGTTGTGTAAAGTCGATAAAACAGTTAAGACGGTACCTGCGTGATAGGCGCGAAATGTGTTGCGCAAATAAGTATCTCGGTATCCACCCGAGCTAAGGCAGTAAGATGAAGACATACCCGCTTTGATCGAGTCCGCGACGGAATCTGACTGGTCGGCACCCTGTGCCCCCTTTCCCGCTGCAGTCTTCATTACTCTGCCACCACTCCCATACGTTGGCGCACTGTATCTGCCCCGTTCCCCACTATTCTCACGCTAACCGTCCAAGACTTTAACGTTCAATGGTCGTTCGAACGGGTGCCGGACCGCAGTTGTAACTGACGGGCCAGTTTGAGGGACCCTAACAATTGAAACTAATGGAGAGAAAGTTTACTGGATTAATTAGTTTAGGGAAGAAAAGGGAAATCCAATGTCTACCAATCCTCTGAGCTTAAATACCCCGAAATTGAAGAAGAAGGTGGGGGACGAATTCCCAGGTTATACAATGTTTCGGTTCAGCCATTCAACTTGCTGTGATGAGAGAAGTTGGGAGAGGGAGGAGGAGACAATAGGGTATCTAGACGGCTTACCCGCATCTTGGTTATTGTTGTTAGGTTGTGTTGGGCGTCTGAGTTATGGACCATTCCATTGTTGTGGATGGTTATATACGGTAGAGGTAATTGTAAGTGAAGTGGAAAACATCCTTCATACAAAAAGGAAACTGAATTGGAAATAACCAAGAACGGATGCTACAACCCGGACGCACCAAAGGCTCGACCAGGATCCCAGGACCCTTACATGTTTTTGCCCCATACAGGCAATAATACCAATACCCCTTACTACTGCAACCTCACACAGCGCCGACCTGGAGTCCTTGCCAACCCCTTTCGACTCTGCTCCGTTGTCTTTCTTCCAACTCCGACTGTCATCTTGCCTTTGACATCGTCTCCGTTGATCACCGGCGTCAAGGATAACGCAGATTCGCGAACAAGACAGGCAATCGTTTGGCCTGACCGCCATCGCATCGTTCCGCTTGTCTTGGTCGCCTGGAGTCTTTCACTACAGCAACCAAGCACCACTACGATTATCCGCCCGCTACCAGGCGTGCCTTGAGGTTGAACCTGCCTTCCCATTCTCTCGACAAGCGAACGGCCTGCGAACCGATCGCTCCGTGGCATCCACAGAAACAAGTATTCGAACCAGAACCACCAGAAACACATGTCGCCTTTAGTCGCCTGTTGATCTTCTCGAACGCGCCTGAACCGACCCTTTTCCTCGGTCGCTTCTTCTCTCCCCTGTCGCGATCGACTCGCTTAGTCTTTTTCTAATTCAACCGACCTGTGCCAACTGACCACACGACAACTGTCGATACGGATCCATTCTTTTCGCACATTGCGCCTTGGTCTTTCGGTCGGAGCCGGCTTCATCTCTGGGGCCTTTCTGGTGCGTTGGCGACCCTGCCACCATTCACGCGCAACCCCGCCTTTTGAACCGTCTATTGACCCGGCGACAACAGGAAGCACATCTGTCAACTTCAGGTCCCGCAGCTTAGGGGATCGTCGTGACTACGCGCAGTCTATTTCTGGCTCAAGAACAACCAGACCTATCTCTATCCGAGGAGTAATTGCAATCCGACACAATGGCGCAAAATGGGTATGCCTGACCTCTGCTATGCTTCTCCCACTCCGCCCACAGTCGCAAATCTCTCCTCTCCCACATGACATCTCGCTCCCGCTACTCGGACAATTTCCCTGGTGGAGCTTGGCTTCATTGCCTTGGCCCATCTTCATTCCTTCCCCTGTTGGAAATCCGATAGGATAATGCTAACATCAACCTAAACCGCAGCAACATATACTCGAGGGAGCCGTTCATGAACCCAGGCCCAGCGCCGCGACCTCCCACCGACAAGCCCCGTCTCGGCCTTACCCCCAACACCAACACCCCCGGGAACATGTCCAACCTCCCTGGGAACATGTCCAACCTGAACCTCCGGTCGCCTGCCCCAGGGGTAACCAGCACATACACCGGCTCGACCATCGCCCTTCCCATCCAACGGCAGATTTCAAATAACGACGGCACCGGCGGCCTTGCTGTCATCAAGCAGGGCTGGGCCAGTGTCAAGGAAAGCAAGAACTTCATCAACCCTTGGAAGAACAAGTACCTGATACTGCGAAAGGAGTCTTTGGATTTCCACAAGGCCGAAAGCAGTAAAGTTGCCTATACTCTCTACCTCAAGGACGTTATCAATGTTGGCCGTGTGGAGGCCGCAGGAACCATTTTCGAAATCAAGAGGCAGTCCAGCGGTGCCTCCACGAGCCCTGGTGAAGAGGAAAATGGTATCAGGACCCTTCAAATCCGTGTAAAGGCCGACGACGACCTTTACGAATGGATTGACTTTATTTACGCACGCTGCCCCGGCATGGGCGGTGTCAGTAACCCTACCAACTTTTCGCATGCCGTCCACGTTGGATTCGATCCCCAGACCGGCGAATTCGTTGGCTTGCCTCCTGAGTGGTCTAAGCTGCTCAACTCTTCCGCCATTACCCAAGAAGATTACGAAAGGAACCCGCAGGCCGTCTTCGAAGTTCTCGATTTCTATTCCGACTTCAACAAGAATGGCGGCCAAGCGCCCACTCCCAACTTTCCCGCTCCCCCATCGAACAGCATGCAGAGCAAGCAGCTCGGATACCCAAGCGGCGGAAACTCCGTCGTACCTCCGCGCCCTACGCAGCCGTTGCAACAGCGTAACCCGAGCTCGAACTACCCATCCTCGCCGCCACAGCAAGGTGGCGCCAGTTCGCGCCCATCCCCCGAGCAGCGCCAGCAGATGTCCCCGAACTACAGCACTGAGCGCGCGAGAGAGGAGCAGAGGCGTGAATTGGAGCGCCAACAGAGAGAGATGGAGGAGCGGGATCGCCGGGACCAGGAGGCTTATAATGCATCCCTCCCCAAGACGAAGACTCCCATGGCTCAGCAGGAGATTGGTGGCGGTGGTGGTTACGGTGGTGCGGATCGCTTCAATCCTACACGCGCCGCTCCACCAGCGCCCAAGGGCTTGCAGCAAGCGCCGAGTCTCAAAGCTCAAAGACCTGCGCCTCCTCCACCAAGTTCCAGTTCGAGCCGCCCGCCCATCGCACAGCAGTCCAGTTCCAGCTCACAGCGGGATCTTGCCCAGGCGCAAGCGCAAAGACGGGCTGAGCAACAAGCCCAGGCGCAACGGTACCAGAACAATGGCCAGGCCCCGCCACGACCACCTCACCCATCGGCCAACCAGCCATCCAAGATTCCTACGACCGTCAAGCCGCTTAACGTTGGTAATAAGCAACCTCAGGATGGTGTCAAGGCCGCCGAAGCTGCTCTTACGTCTAAGCCTGCTGCCTCCGAGCGCTCCAAGGATGTTCGCATGTCGACCATGTCGGAGAAGGAGGTCATGCAGAAGCTTAGGGAGGTTGTCTCTCACGACGACCCCGAAGCCAAGTATTCCAAGCAGAAGAAGATTGGACAGGGTGCCTCTGGCTCCGTGTACGTCGCCAAGATCAGAGAGAGACCCGGCCAGGATCCCAACACTGCCAGGAGACGCGGCCAGGTTGCTATCAAGCAGATGGATCTTGCGCACCAGCCGCGCAAGGAGCTGATTGTGAACGAAATCATGGTCATGAAGGACAGCAGTCACCCCAACATTGTCAACTTTGTCGAAGCTTTCTTGAAGAATAAGGACCAGGAGCTCTGGGTCGTCATGGAGTACATGGAGGGCGGTGCCTTGACTGATGTCATTGAGAACAACCCCGTCATCACGGAGGAGCAGATTTCTACCATTTGTTTGGAGGTAAGTTGCGGTGTGGCTGTGATGTCCAGCCTGAGACGATCATTTTACTGACTGGAACTTCTACAGACATGCCGCGGTCTTGAACATCTCCACGAAAGGAACATTATCCATCGTGACATTAAGAGTGACAACGTCCTCTTGGATGCCCGTGGTAACGTGAAGATTAGTAAGTTATCCTACCACCCCTCATTCATTGGACACCACTAACGTTTATGCTTAGCCGATTTCGGTTTCTGTGCCAAGTTGACCGAAGCCAAGTCCAAGCGCGCCACCATGGTTGGCACGCCATACTGGATGGCTCCCGAGGTCGTCAAGCAGAAGGAATACGGCCCCAAGGTCGACATCTGGTCGCTCGGTATCATGGCCATTGAGCTGATCGAGTCGGAGCCTCCTTACCTGAATGAGGAGCCGCTTAAGGCCCTCTACCTCATCGCCACCAACGGCACTCCCAGGCTGAAGAAACCCGAGAAGCTCAGTAAGGAGCTGAAAGCTTTCTTGTCGGTGTGTCTCTGCGTGGATGTCAAGAGCCGTGCGTCGGCGATGGAGCTTCTTGAACACGATTTCTTGAAGCACGGATGCCCCTTGAGCAGCTTGGCGGAATTGCTCGCCTTTAAGAGGTCGGCGAAATAAAGGGGTTGTTGATGTGAGATCAAAGAGGTAGTGATGATGCGTGATGGTGGTTTGTGGGTGGGTGGTTAGAGGATCTTTTTAGCTAGAAGCAAGCAACCTTTGCATGAAAGAAACCTGAAAGGGACGTTTTAATACTGATGGATACCTAGGTAGGGTGGGTGGTAAGGGTGAAGAGGATTGGGCGGACGGATGGGTTCACTGTCGTTTGGGTCCGGAACTTTTGTCAAAGAAAGAAAGAAAGAAAGAAAGCTAAGGAAGGAAGGGAGGAAGAAAAGAAGAAAGAAGAAAGAGGAAAGAAAGAAAGAAAGAAAGAAAGCAAGCAAGCGATGATAAACAACATGATTCACGGGTTTTGGATCTTCTCTCCGATGAGGTTTCGAAGTGTTAATGTGCGCGTACGATACCTTCATGGCAAGCAGACATGTGTCGTCCTTGTGGATGTTTGACCGAGGTCTTGGAATTGCATGAGCGGGCTGGAAAAGTAGGCGAAGGGTTAAGGGGGGAAAGAACTGAAATTGAGGTAGAACATGTGGTTTACCATATTTCTCATCTTCGTCTACATATCCTCGTTTACAATACATACTCTACCAGAGACCATTTTCTCGTACTGTGAACTATAGTACCTTCCCCGTTCTCTCTATTTATGCAGGTCGGATAGGTGGCCCGTGCGTGCACTGTTTGGCGAGAACCTCAAAGCGCGGGGTTGTCCCAGCAACAAAAACAAACGATCATCAACGAATCAGGAGGAGTGCTGATGGCCATTCACGAGTCAAAGAACCTTGACGGCCTCGTTTTGCGAAAACCCATTGTCGACACAATCGCATGAACTTGTCCTGTTCTTTTCTTTTTCCGTCAATTGCAACAATCTCGAACAGTTAGATGCAAAGATGTCGAGAGTTGCAAGCAAAACGAAAGTCCGCAAGTACGGAAAGCCAACCACAAAGAGCAGGGCAGAACTGCTTTTCGCGGAACTACCCAAGACTCCGGTGAAACAGCCACGCCGACAGCCCATACGACAGATTTTGGAGCCGGAACCATTGCAGATTTCAAAGCCGGAGACCACGGAGCCGAATCTGGCCTGCCATGAGCAGAAAGTTGGACCACCCCGGGAAGCGGGGCCGGAACCAGTACCAGACCTGGAATCCATGTCTGACGAGGAGGACGATGTTCATGATGTTACCGAACACTTCGACTCCATATTACTTGATGAAGAAGACGATCATCAAGATGCACCCTACGCATCAACCCCACGACCTTCCATAGGAAGTTATACGAGTTACAACACTTCATTACCACCGCCGCAACATCATCAACAAAAACAACCACCAACATCCAGGACATCACTCTCATCACAAGCCCCACCGCGACTTTCTCCTTTCAGGAAACTCGCACCCCCATCAGTACCACGGAGTCCCGCATCAGTTCAAAGGACCCCAACCAGCAAAAAGTCTCCATTTGGCCGCTGCCCACAACAATTCCCCCTCAAATCCCCACGAGTCCAACAACTCATCCAACAAGAAACTAAGCACCCTCAGTCCCCCCAACAGCAATACAAGGAACAAGACGAACAACAACAACCACAAGAATACTCCTTCTACGACACCTCCTCCTTCCACACCTTATCCTGGTCCGACATCTGCGGCCCCCCTTCCCCTTCCAACTCCATCACCAAAATCGCCGAAGCCTCCTACGCCGAAGTCTACCGCATCACCAACTCCCGCGGGACATCCATCATCAAAGTAATCCGCTTACAATCGCCCATCAAACCACAGACCAAAGCCCAGGTCAAGTCGGGCTTGGTGGACGAGGAACCTCACGCCGAATCGGACCTGCAAGGCGAGCTGAAGATATCCGAATGGCTGGCTGATATACCCGGGTTCGTGATTTACAAGGAGAGGTTCATTGTCGAGGGCAAAGGGACCAAGGAGCTGCTGGAGACGCATCAGGTGTTTCAGCGCAAACAAAAGAGGAGAGATCCCGGGAGGGCGCAGTTCTATCCGAGTCCGAGTCGGTATCTAGATAACACGAGGTTTTTGGTCGTGGAGCTGGGCGATGCGGGGACGGCGTTGGAAGATTTCATCATGGCTGAATCGAAGACGATGGGGCAGGAGATGTTATGGGATGTCTTTCTGAGTACGGCGGTGGCGATGGCGAGGGCGGAGGGCATGGTGAGGTTCGAGCATAGGGATTTGCATGAAGGGAATTTGTGTGTCAGGAGGGTGAGGCCGGCGCGGCAGAAGGAAACATCCTCGAGCAATGGTGAGGCGACCGGAAAAGGAGGAGGGGGAGGAGTCAAGTTCGGTTGGTCAGGCTTGGAGGTCACCATTCTCGATTACGGTCTTTCGAGGGCTACTGATCCCGAGACCATCGGGCCTGAGCTTGATCAAGAATCATGTCCGGCATCGCCTATCGGACGAAGGACTGATACAACCAACAACGGAGAAGCCGGCAAAGATGAGGAAGAAGCAGTCGTCTTCTACGACCTGGAAAAAGATCCGTCAATGTTCACTTCGACACACGCCCCCCAATGCGAGATCTACCGTCTTATGCGCGCCCACCTGCTTAGCAACACGCCCAAAGGCAAACCGGTCTCTTGGGCAGGGTATTACCCGTACACTAATGTGCTGTGGCTGTCGTACATTTACGGTTACCTCTGCCAGCACTTTAAGGGGGACAAGCGCGAGCTGAAAGCGTGGAGGGAGGAGACAGAGGAGATGTGGAAGTATTTGGACCCGGAAAAGGTGGATGCCGTGAGACAAGAGGGTAGTATTGGGTTCGGCGCGGCGGAGGATGTAGTGGTCTTTGCGGTGGAAAGGGGGTGGATTACTGAGGAACAGGTGATGGATGTTGGGGATAGGAGTACGGTTCTGTTTGAGGAACCGATGCTTCAAGTCCCGACTGTGGAAGTGGTGAAGAGTGGAGGAGAGAAAGCAATGGTCCAGAGTATTGAGAATCAAGTGGATGCCGAGAGACCCGGGTCAAGGGATGAAGATGAAGAAGACGACCACATTCGCCGCTATTCTAAGAGGAGGCGGACGAGGAAGAGATACGTCGAGGATGATGAGTAGCATGTGATTTACGAGCAAGCATAGCCTAGCGTTCAGTGGCATTGTTTTTCATTTT